GTCTGATACCACTTTTTGAGCCTGAAATTCTTTGTTCATTTTTTTTTTCCACAAAGTCAACAACAAGTGGAAGAAATTTAAAGTCTCCATTACCTCTGTGAAAGGCAGAACCTGGTTATCCAAACCATGTCAAGAACAGTAACATACACATGATGGTAACAAGCCCAACAAGGCTTCAACTGGGGTTGACAGCACTGTAGCAGGTTGATGACTAAAGAGAACTATGGCTTTGCAGTTTGTTTGTCAGACTCGCCTAAATATAGCCAGCACACCATAGTCTTCAAGCCGTTTGAGATGATTAACTGTGGGATAATTCCAGGCTTCCAGACTTTGCATTTTTAAGCTCTCTCTGATGACTTAGATTAGTTTAGAGGAGACATGGAAAGACAACAGGAGAGAATTAAGATACTTCTCCAAACCCAGATATGGCAAATACTGAGCTAATACTGTGGGGCCAAGAGCTGGCTGGACCCTTCATGGAGAGCTAGACCCTGCCTTATCTGTGACAGGTAACTGCCCCTTCCTCACCAATACAGGTGACATGGGGATCTCCGAGTGATCAAAAGGGCCTGCTCAAAGCAAAGACATTGAAAAGGCTTGGAAAGGGTTTGCTAGTACAGCTAACGGATTGTTCAGGGAAGCAGTGCAAGGCAAACATTTGAAAAAGATCAGATGAATATTAGAGATATTCAGAAGCTGTCTGGACATGGTCCTGGGCAACTTGTTGTAAGTGGCCCTGCTTGAGCAGCAGGGTTGGACCAGATGACCTCCAGACGTCCCTTCCCACCTCAACCTCCCTATGAACAAAGTGAACAATGCACAGACAGAGGTATGCTGGAAATGGCCACAGAGATGACAGCAGCTGGGATGATCTTACAGCAGCTAAAGAAGTAGATGTGTCCCCTGTGCAGAATTAATATGAAAGGGGCAAGACTTTAAATCACTAGTGCTCATGAGCTCAGCCAACCTCACATAGACTAAAACCCTCAGTTTGGGGCTGGCAGAAACAGCCTCGTTTGCTCTCTTTTCTCACATCTGAAATTTGATAAGGAATGGTAAGGGGACATCAAGTGAGGCAATGTCTTTGGGGAGGAAAGAGGCTAAAGGCAAGCCCTGCAGTAGTGGCAGACACTGTTATGGTTATAACTGCTTCAGGCACATGTACACCATATCGTTGAGAACAATCGTTTCCAGGCAAAAATAAATGTTAAATACTGTCCGTATTTGGTGTCTTCACTGGTCTTTCTGACCAACGATCATGTATAATTGTCTGGGCAGTAAGTTTTTATGTCAGTCTCCCAATGAGATCTAGTCTTTGCTTCAAACTCCAGTTCTGCCATTTTCATGGCTATTAAAGTTGATGTCTATTTGTTAGTCTCATATTCTGTCTTCACTGATCACTGAGATCTTGAAAGTTAATACCAACTCATGACTCCACCCTGGAGTACCCTCTTTATCCTGGGGATACCACACGTGATGCTAGATACCACCGGATCTGAAGATGCTTTCTAGAACTTTCTGCCTAGTTTTACATGAAACTTTTACATAGAATTATCTTGTACAACATACATCTCTGAACAAAGGAACTAGAAGGAGTTTGATTTTTGTAGTGTCAGGAGTAACAGGGGTAATTAATTGTGGATATGATTCCAGGAAAATCTAGAAATAGTATTCAGCTGTTAAAAGACCATGCAACTCTCTTAAAAGAAGGCCTTTTGCAATTCACTTACATGCATTAGCTTAAGTCTATTCTCAAATGAGACATGTCCAAGACTGCTGACTGCTAAAAAAATCATTGCTTTATTCTTCTCTTTCATTACTGCAGACACTGCTGTTATAAATTAAGAAAACATACACACACACAAAAAAAATCATGTGTGGGAAGTCAGATATCCCTCAGGCAAGAAACACCTTCCACCACTACTTGGGTAATGGTAAAACGTTGGATTCAGGCTATGATGTTTCAACAGCAAGAACAATTGCACTTCTGTGGAAGTGTTCCTATGCCGTGGATGCCAATGCTCATAGCAGCTGAACACTGAACGAAGCCATTTTGGTGTCCAGCCGTACCCTAAGGATTTGATTTTTGGGTGTATACTTAGGAAAATATCAACCTTTCTTGCCCTACTTTTAAATGGGGATTTAAATTCCTAGGAACTTCACCACTGTTTTCAACATCTAAATGTTTTTTTTAATAGGGTAAGATAATTTGAAGTATCTGCAACCTGTATCTTGAGCAGGAATCTGTCATGCGTCAAATAATCTTTCAGGAGCAATTTCCACCTAATAAACTTGCTGACATATAGATGTTAATAGCAGCATTTGTATTTTTTCTGTTCAGCAAATGTGGGGAACACCATTAGCATGTGAACGAAAAATGAGCTCCAAACACTCTGTCAAAGATTTGCAGAAGTAGTTTTGGAGTCCTTTTCCTTAAACTCTAAAGTTCTAATATTAATGCTGTGTTTGTGTAATCTAAAGATTAGCATTTCTGCTCTGCAGCCATTTCCTATGAAGACAACCAAGATAGGGAATTGAACATGTCAGGACACTTAGGTTCTGGTCAGAGTTGTAGCAGAGGCTTTCTGTGCACAGCAAACTTGGACAAAGCACTGAATAAGATACATTATTTAACCTCCCTTTACCTAAGTTTACCTCCATGGGACTATTCCCCATACCTAAGGGCATGTGGTAAGTTCATGTTTGTATAGTGCCTATACCTTTTGATGCAAGTTTTTTCAGAGTTGCTAAACATTGTCACTATTATTGAGTAATAAACAAACAAGTTATTTGTGCCAACAGTCCAAGTCCTACCTGGGCACTATTTTGTACTATGGTGTGAGGAAATTGTTTAATTTTCTTTTCACCTTAGAGCAAAACAATTCAAGCACAGAAAAAAGACTGTGCTTACAGAAAGCTTTCTGAATTGCAAGTGACCGTACAATATTTTAACACACCCAGTCCGCGAAACTTTCCACTCTAGCTGTAATATAATAAACCAGGACACCGCATCTGCTTTGAAGCCTTCCCGAATCGTCTTGTATCCTCCAAAATCCTGTAAAAAAATTAAAGCTTTCTGTACCAGAGGAGGTCAGCATACAGATCCATTTCCCCATGGCCCTAATGAATATCAAAGTTGCAGTACTTGGACCTTTGCTGATCTCAGCTGTGCCTCAGCATCAGTGGCAGAGAGGTGGGCTGCAAGCAGGCAGCCACCAAAATATTTGGGAACTAATACCCTGCATAAGAGTAGGAACTACCTGACTGTGTTCATAACAACACGGTCTTCTCAGCAATTTCAATCCTGCATCTTTTCTTAATCAATTCCAGCTTTCATACAATCTCAAACTTAGTCTCGAGTAGACAAAAACGACGACAGTCGAACCCAGCAGTAATGCATTGTTTTAGCACAACGATAAAGCAGAGAGAGGTATTTCCTTGGATGCAGACCTGTAAAAAAGCCTCTCAAACAATAAGCAATGGGGGCACAACCTCCATCAAGTGAGCTGATAAAATCTCCTCCACAGGTGTCTCTTCTCCGCCTGGTAGTACCAAAATGCTTTACTTTGTCCACTTTGCTTTGACCCGAGGGCCAGACTCCACCAGAAATCAAATAATGTGCAATATTTTTCATACGAGAACCCCAGCCAACAGGATCAAACCCCATCTCAGTGCATTATAAAACTGCTACACTCTGATTTAGTATTTCATGGTTGTGGTTTTGCATATTAAAAGTAACTTGTGAATTGTGCTTGTGGCCTTACTATGTTGTTTTGTTTTGCTATGAGCAGACACAGATTAGATTTCTGGTCTCATACTCTTTACCCTGACTGAGTGGTAAAACAACAGCAAGATCAGAGCCTGGGGGACAACGACATGTCAGCAATCCGGCTGAGTAATTAAGCAATGAAACGATAGGTATGACAAGTAGTTTCATTCAATTCTTAAATTAAAGTACAGCAGCTCCAATATGAGGCAAAACAGGTGATAGTATACATAAATTGGGAGAGAAGTGCTGGAAGGGAAGCCGTCTGTCCTCATCTTCCTACCCTTCAAAACAAGCAGTCGGCATGTATCAAATTAATTTTAGGAAGAGCCCATTAACTATTAAATGCTTATTTTGTTTAAAAAAGCACAAGTGGTGCTAACTGCTGAAACACTGGAGTTTAAATTCACACCAACAGAAGTTAGCTGTTGTAATCCTAGAACACCTACACAGCACATTGCCCACTTCAACAGAAGTTAACTCATATTTTCCCTTGACAAACACAGATGTATGTGCATATGTATGCAGTATGCTTAGTCTGGACGTTCCTAATAAACAGTTAATCTGATTTAAAGTAGACTGTCTTTTTTTTTTAAATTACTTTGACATACCTATGGAATTGGACATATATAAATCCCAATACAAATAAACAGTACCCAGTACTAAGCTCTTAAAACCCAGATTTATAACAGAAATGTGGAGACAGACTCTTCAACAGGGGCAAGGCTTAGCAGCATGACAATAGATCAAGACAAAGTATTGTTCAACATGATTTTCTCCCTTCTTGATGGCATATCCAGCTGTCCTGTAACATTGAATTGAATCGTAACATGAAATGTGGAATTGCAAATGAAAGGGACTCCATTAGAATAAGAATTAAAACCTAAAATCAGTATTCTCAGCAGAGTTGGACAATTTATTCAATTATGGTTGGACTCAATGATCTTAAAAGGTCTTTTCCAACCTAAATGATTCTATAATTCTATAATTTGTTACTAGAAGACTCTTTTCTTTGAAACTGCAGTTGCTGTCATTAAATCCTTAAAGAAAAAAATACAAGCTCCTACTGCTGCTCTCTCTCTATGAACCAGCAAGTGAACAGAGATGAGCCAACACCTTATTAAGTATAAGCAAAGCTTTTAAGATGGCCTGCAGAAATAAATAGGATGTCTGCAATACACATAAAGGTACTGTTAATAACAAAGACAAAATTTTGGTATAAAAAACCGCCTACCTTAGGAGAAGAAGAAAGCTCCCTCGATGCAGGAACAGCTGACATGTTCTCACTCACGCCTGTCTCTGTCTTTGGCAAGAGGTTTGGTGGTTCAGGAGCCTTTCTTTTCATCTTCTTTTCTGGTTCTTGCAGCGGAGCAACTTTAATTAAAGCAGGGCTTGATTTTGGTTCATAAAATGGATTTGATCTAATTAAAAGAAGGGAAACATATTTCTTTGCTATCTCCTTGGAATTAAAACAAAAAATAAGACCTCTTTAGAGAAGCCAGTGACTAAAATGCTTTTATTATCCCACATAAGAATATGTTTTGCCTTTAGGTGCTTTTAGATAGTACTTTTTCATATGATTGAAAAGTGAATTACAACAGTTAGAACTGCATTAGGTCAGGATTTCCATAAATTTTATTAAGTCCTCTAAATTACAGAAGTTTTATCAATTGCATAAAGCTAGCTCTTCAATTATACTTAGCTATCTATCAGAGAGTGATCTGATTCACAGACAAGCTCAATACCAACAAATTTAAGTGAAGTTGCTGGCTGTTTAATATTTGAATGAACAGAATTAAGAATGCTTCATTAAGAGAGTTAAGAATTAGGCCACTTCTACACACATGCTTCAACATGGCTTTAGAGGCCTCACTCCTCGCTGTCCAAGTCTGAAAGTTTTGGCCTCCGTAGGTACACAATCCACATCGAGTGTATTTTAAACTCTGCAGCATACAAGCACCACATCATTTCAAGAACACTCCTTGGATAAGAGAATAGTATAAAAAAACCACAGCTGACTTGTGTACACCTCTCTACAGATACCAGCAGCCATCATCCGTCTATTTTAAAAGTGCTTTTTATAACTAAACCTCATTTAAGAAACACAGTAAACATCTTCCACCAAGTGGATGCAGTCCAAAGAATTATTCTTCTTAACTCTGGTGTTCACATTCCAGCTCCGCATTTGTTCCACCCTAAAGAAATACTTTCACAGCATTCCCAAATTTTATCTATTAGTTTGATACATCAAATACCAATCAATAATACATCAAATAATGGCTTCTACTACGCACTTAGAAGAGCCAGCAATTTTGTATCCTGCTAGGGATACTTATGGGAACCTTCTTTGCACTGGATTATTGTATTCATAATCTTTGCTTTTCATATTTTGCAATCCAAAACTGGATGGAAACAGACATGTTAATTCCTTTCTAGTCCATACTTTCCCTGCAAGGTATATTTATCATATATCTGAAACTATGTTTATGTAACTAAGTCACTGCAATTCCCAAAGATCTATCTACATATAGTTATATAAAGTGTAACTAATCATGACAAATAACCTCAGTCCCTTGAATTCAACTCTAGATGGAAACAATAATGCATACAGCATTAGACAAGAGCCTACCTAGCTAGATCCACTTACAAATTTCCTCTCAGGATAAGAGTCATGAGCTACTACACACTGTTTTTAAACAACCACAACAGCAAAATTTGGGCACAAGCAAAAAACCAACTGTTCATCCAGTTTCCTTTCACACCATACCAAATTTCTCTCAGTTTTGTGTACTATTAGTATGAAAATATGTCTTTCAGTCTTATAGACTGATTTTTAGAATTTATTTTAATGCAGTTTACCATCATCCTCTTTTCACTGAGAAAAAGCAAGCAACTGATAATCCACACCACAGAAAATAAGTCTGCTTCTGAAAGGCAAAGTTTACTGAAGCACGTAAGTGAAGACCGGGCATAAAACCTCCAGACCTTTCTGAGAATCTGCCACTGCTTGTTATAGAGAAAGAGATCTAAACCCAGATACTGAAGCAAAAGGAAAGACTAACACTAAAATAACTCATCTGCTGACTGAAGGCAACTTTCAGGTGGTCCCACTTTGCTGCCCATCAAGCACAAAGCCACCAGTGCAATCAAAACTAAAGGCAACATCAAAATAACGAGTTAAATAGCAAAGGATGGGTGTTTTTCATGGGAGGCAGTAGAAAAAGGAGGGTATTCAGGCTGGAGTGGAGAATGCACCTAGCTGTCAGTAGCTCTAATTTAGCTGACAGCCCAGTCCAGCTGTCTTCAGACACCAGAAAGTTCAAAGGGAGGTGAAAATGAAGATAAAAGAGATAAAGGCTGAAGAACAATGCATTCTACAGGAGAGCACAAGGTTTTCTTTAGTTCAACAAGTTAGCCTTCTGAACAGCCAATAGACACAGTACGTTTGGCAGGAAAGTAGTTTACCTCTGCGTACTTGGAATCAGAAAGGTGTATTCGTACGTTGTTAAAATGAATTTGGTGCGAGAGAAAAAAAAAAAAAAAAAAAGAAAAACACCTTATCAATGAGAGTAAAAAAGTTTGGAAGAACCACCTTTTGAATTTTTATGCTCCAGAATTGTCTGCGCTGCATGCGTAATCTTGAAGAATTGTACCCTACTGCACGCACCAGAAGGAAGTACTGTAAGGAGACAAGTGACTGCCTTTTTTTCCTAGAGAAGAACTTGCTTGAAAGCCAGACTAAATCCTCACACTTTGGTCATAGTATGGGCAGAACACACACGCACTACTTTTCACTTTCCCCTCTGCACCCCTTTTAATTGGTCTTAAAAATATTGAGAAAGATTTTTGAAATATTAATATAGAAAAAAAACGGTTCTTGCCTTTGCAAGAGGCTATAAATTTTAAGGTCATGGGGGTCTGATATATGTAGCAGAGTTTGGTCCAGTGGCTTCCACATGGCTATACAAGAAACTACGCATGGGAAAAGTCTGGCTGAAAAAAGCCTTAGCTGAAAAATATTAAGGCACTTTTCTCTGAGGTCAGCTCCCATACTTTTTGCTTCTGTGAAGATATTTAATTGATGCACACCATGTGATTTGCCTAAACAGATACTAGACTGTCCACCACAAAATTAAAAAAACCAAACCTGACAAACTACCTAGCATTAAGCTGTCACTGGCAGTGTGGTGGCTTGCGGCTTCTTGTGCAACAGGCAGCTTCAATAGATGGCGACTCGATACTCTTTTCAATTAGACAGCGTTATTCTAAGCCATGCAATGATTAACGAGATAAGAAGCCACAGAGCCAAATAATATCTGAAAGCAAGTTTTATTCTGACCAGTTGAAAAATTATTTTGACCAGCATTACTGGTTAACTGGAAAAAAAAATTTAAAAATCAACATTTATTGAGGAAGAAAAACAAAGCTGTCAGTGTGGCAGGGTTAAAAGATCAGGCAATATTACCAATCAGAAGTACTAAGGTTGAAAGCATTATACTTTAAGTAGTTGTGAGCTATGCTATTTTCAAATAATTAAACTTAACTTAGCAAGGTGTGCTGTCCTTTATTAACAGGTAGCCACCTACCGTTTTGATTTTAATGGATAAAATTCAAAAAGGCAAAAGCAGAATTTTACACTAACATTCAAATACCCAAACTAACAAAAGGAAAATGGGTTCCTTATCTCTAGCTAGTTATGAGAATTTAGCCAGAGGAAGTAAGTTGTGAGAGCGTAGTTTTACAGCAGAATGTACATACTGGATCGTCTAAGTCCCTCTGTACCATGCAACGCCTCATTATGCTTATGCTTGTGCCTCTGCTTTGCTTATGTGTGTTGTGAAATCTTATGTTATCTTCACAACCATTAGTGAAATATGTTTCAATTAAGTCAATTATCCAAGGTAAATCCTTCACAGAGGTGCAGTGAGGGCAAGCACCTTTTCCAAGATTACAATGAGAGTCTGTTAGAAAACTGGAGTCAGAGTTCAGCTCTTGGGGTACTTTGTGTAAGCTCTGAGTCCGGAATCAGAACTAGGGATCTGCCAGAGTGGGACAAGGGTCCCGACGCTAACTGATGTGTCCATGTTTCCACGACACATCATGGCATTTTCCTCTTGTATTTTGTGTGAAATGCAAAGTGGTGTGTTAAGTGAACTCCAATGAAATGTTTAAGATGCAGGGACAAAAATACATTGTATTTCCTGAGCGACAGTAAACGTCTTTCAGGAGCCTTCTATTTCTCATGCCTTCCATCTATTAGGTTCAAAACCACTCCTGGGGAAAGCACCATACCAGCAGTAATCAAAGATGATCAAAAACTACTCAAAATGAAACAAAAAAAATTAAAAGACAACAAAAAAAATTAAACGAAACAAAAAAAATTAAAAGATTAATTGAAAATAAAATGCAAAGTTTTCTAATGCCGTGATATGACTCAGTTGTTCAGCCTTGTCTTGAATACACTGCTCAGGCCAAGTCAACACATCTTAAAATAGATACATAGCAGAAGAAATAACAGGGTCCAGAGACGTGCGGTGAAAATTATTAGAGAGATGAAGAGACTTCTGTATGAAGAGAGATTGAAAAAGTTAGCACCATTTAACTCAGACAAGTGACAAGTAATGGTGAATACGCTAGAGATACACAACACAGCAACTGTTTATGGCAGATAAATCCAATACTACTAATTGTTGTTTTGATAAGCCAGCAGAAGAGATAGTGTATGGGATTGGAAAGGTAACTCATTTACAATCAATAAAAGGAAACACATTTCATATAAGATCTTGGTTTTTTGTGGAACTCTGCCACAAATTGACACTGAACCCTAGACTTAATAGGATTTGAAGAAGATTAGCCACTTATGTAGATAATAAAAGCATCAATATTCACATTAGATAAAAAACAATACACATCTGGACATAAACCCTCATGATTTAGAGCACTCAAAAACTACCAACTGGCACTGCCCGTGAAAATCTTTCCTTTGATACTCACCATACCATACCATACCTTAGCAGAAACTTTCTGCTGAACTATTTGAAAATTAATAACATGAGGTAAGGCATAATAGTGCTTGTAGGTGTGAGTTAGTATCACAAGTCCTGTGTTTCTAGACTGGAGTTTTATTATTACACTTATTCCTCCAGAGCGTTTCAGTATAAAGATTCAAAGGTTCTCCTTGCCACACTTCTACCCAATACATTTAACAAATGGTCTCCACGTCTTTTTCAATGACATGGCGCTCCTGTACCCTGGGAGGCAAACGTGAAGAGGAAGCTACTTTGGGGGTCAGGACATAAAAAAAACTTATGTAAAAGACGTACAAAACTATTTTACAGTGCTTTTTGACTCCTTATCCTTCCACGGGACATCGCTTTTATAAGGAAAACACAGATCAGATTTATGTTCAAGTAGAATCCACCTATAGGGAGTTTATTTTTATCCTTGAAAAAAGAAAAAAGGAATAAAGCAAATGGGGGTCATTAAAATAAGAAGGTGGCTGTTGTAAACAAAGGGCTAGAGAAATCTACGGTCCAGTACACAGAAAAGCCAAGGCTGCCTGTTACAACACTGCTGCAAGCCCATTTGGCACAGATTTGCTTAGGGTGGAAAAAAACAGAGGAAATTCTTCACTTGCCCATCCATGTAGCTTTTGCTCTTTCTGCTCTTCTCCTCAGTCTTTGCTGTCCTCTATACCCATATCTTTGCAGATAAAAAGTATACATATTTTTCCTCCCCGCGGATTCTGGTGATCAGTGAATGATCAGGGATGCCTGGTGGGACTGTCAACAGTGTGATCACACTGTGCTCTGAAGACACAGCAGCCAGTGCTGTTTGTTCAGGCAGTGCCCTGATGAATGGAGCTGGCACAGACATGCCCCTCCTTTTTTTTTTTCCACAGAACAAACAACAACAACAACAAATCCATGGCCACAGAGCTTTAAAAGGAAAAAACCCTGCAGGGTCCTGTATACATTTCTATTAGTGTGCATGAGAATCCTTCCATTTCCTAGAACACAGCTATAAACAGAGAAATATAAAGATGATGATATGACACCTGTATTAATATTAAATATGAAAGCAATGCAAATGTCATGCCACAATAAATCTCATTAAATAATGTAAAACTAAATGTTAATTACAGTTGTTGCCTGTAAAATTGCTCGCGTGTAAACACCATAAACCATCTCATGAGTAGCATGGTTGGTGACTAATGACCACAAACAAGGAGTAAGTATATACCATCAAACGTCCCAAGCTGCACAACTATTGCAAAAAGCTCTCACTCCTTGTTAGGTTTCTGTACTATAACACAAGGCAGTCAGTGTGAGTTTATAAAAGTTTAACGTGTGGTTATGATAAAAGAAATAACCTAAGAAAGGACATATCGTGTTATCTTTCCCATACAGAGATTCAGTTTTATGAGACTCAAAAACGTGCTATGCAGACTGAAAAACACTCTTCCTTTTTACATACTGCACCAATATAAAACAAACTCTCCATTATCATTAACAAAAATTATTATTTTATGTAGTAAAAATAATGGCAAAAAGGACAGGAAGGACCAAGCTCTGCTGCTCCTTAATTTTTGGCTCATTTGCAATTGTCAGGGCATGAAGTGCCAAAAAGGTACACAGACTTGTTCCCTATCAAGTAATTTGTTATCAGTGAGGCAAAGGAAAGTTTCCTAACTGATCATGTTCAGCTGAATAGCATGACTTGGGGGTATGGTATTTCCTGCTGCTGAGCTGCCTAAGGAGGTGATTAAGGATCACCATGGTTGAACCCAATACACCTCAAGATTAAGCCAGGGATCCCACTAATGCTTCCAAAGCTGCTGAAAGATGAAGAATCGTACTTACTCATCTAGCTCTTCCTCTTCAGCTTTAGAGGTATCTGCATAGAGGTATTTGCTCATATCCACTGGTCTGACATTTTTCCTTTTTGCAGGTTGTGGAGGAGAATCTCTTACAGTTACAAATGTTTCAGGCTCAGGATCTGGCTCATCAAATGGGTTCAAGTACTCTGGGGCATCTTCGTCCTTGAAGGGATTGTAATTGTCAGCATAGAAACTTTCTTCTGGCTTTGAAGATGAAGCTATTTCAGTGTCCGGTTCTACCAAATAACAAAAAAATCATTAAACAGATTTAACATTAAAAAAAATTTGAAACCATTTTATCAGATCTTTATATTTTGAAGGCTTATGATAAGGTCTGCTTCTTAACTCTCAATACATAAAGTCCTAGCCTTAGATGAATTTTCACGCTTTATTAATTTACAGAGTAACCTTGTTTATTCAAAAATAGGTCTTTCAAATGGTCATTTCATCTAGATTATATTGAATAGGTTTCATTTTCTCACTTACTAAAGCTTTTTCAACCTAATTAGTTATTAGTTTTCTTATTTGTCATATAAATGGTATTGCAACAGATTTTAAAACATCTTCCCAAGCTATTAGCCAATCTGTATCCTAACAAAATGTTCTTAATTATTTGAGCTTTTAATAAAGAAAAAAGATATCCTGTATTTCAGAATAAAATTACTTTTATTGGATATTAAAAATGGTGATAGTAAGTAGGCGGTCTTTTCATTTCTTAAAATGACTGAACTAAAAAGTCAGTTATTAGGTATGACCAGTAATTACATTTCAAAACATACATATTTTCACTGCTAACTGTTCCTGGTAACAATACCTAGTCTCACAGTAAAAATGAATTTAAATTAACCCTAGAGACAGATAATCAAATTACTCATCTATTATTTGGGCTGTACAACAAAAAGTTATTAGCAACCTGGAGCTGTGTGCAGTTCTTTGGAGTAACAGACACTACGAAAGAACATTACACAAAAGTGAATGGCTGCTGGATATTGAATAATACAAATCCCCATACAGCAATACAACATTTCTTACAAAGACACTTACTAGTGCTAATCTTACTCTTCCTGCAGCATCAAATGATCAGAAGCTCAGTTCAATATTGGATTTGATGTATTTTCAAAATCTATGCAAATAGGAACTTCACTGTAGTGTCATTAAAACCTAATTTTCAGTAACCACTCCCACATTATTCTTAACAAAAAGTGTTTCTTTTTCAGATCACAGAATCATAGAATCGTTTAGGTTGGAAACGACCTTTAAGATCATCAAGTCCAACCGTTAACCTAGCACTCCCAAGTCCACCACTAAACCATGTCCCTAAGCACCACATCTACAGGTCTTTTAAATACCTCCAGGGATGGGGACTCAACCACTAAATTGAATAAAGCATACCTTTTAGCTTTAAAAGAAAAAAGAAAAAGTTATTTGTAGCAAGGCTCTAAAAAATAAAAAGATGGAGTTCCAAGTGTGTTTGTCACTAAACAAATATTCAGGAAGACAAAAGCACTAGTCACCTAACTAACAAGGGGAAGGGGCAGCGAAAGAAACAGCACTGTCGTTACTTGGATTTGGATGGCTGATGTACTCAAGTTGCTAATCCTGGTGAACTGCTAGAAAATGTGAGTGTTCTCTACTCTGCCAGTAAACTTCCAGGTCACCCTGTCTCCAGCCATTAGCACAGCCCAAGGTGACAGAAAGCCCTACCCCATGTGGTGTGACTGACTATAATCTACAGTTTGAACAAGAGCCCCTCCTAGTTGGACAGGAATATGGTCCCCGGATGCAGGTAGCAGCTTCACCTATCTATGCACTGGAGTGGTCACCAGTCACTAGACCAGGGCAAAGGCTTGGAGCAGGAAAGGCTTTAGTCCTTCTCAGAACAACTGAAACCTACCAGGGACTGAAAAGATTTCATTTTAGGAAGAGCCTCACATTTCTAGTGCTGCTCTTCTTAGTTCTCCACATTTGAACCTCAAAGACTATATTATCTTCTACATTATTATATTGTCTTCTACATTATTATATTGTCTTCTACACTATTTCTAAGGGTCTGTTTCTGAAGTGATGGATCATTTCTCTATGGCCAGAAAGTAGAAATCAAATGCATATGGCTGGAATAACAGAATAAATTAATCAAAATCTTTAGCCCAATGTGGACCCTCAGGAGATAAATCACTCATCTGAGATTGAGAGTGAGTTCAGCTGGGTGAAACAAAATAAAATTTGCCAGGCAATACTGTAGGTTTTAGCTGGTAGACACACTTATGACTACACACAGTGCTTGTGCCTGTGGGATTTTGCTATGGTGATTATTCAGAAAATTACTTCAAAAAATTCTTTTAATTCCAGGTGAGGTTTGCAGTTTCTTATTCCCTCAGCAACCTGGTCCAACTTAGCATTAAAGAAGCAACATGTACAGTACACATCTACCTCTTATGTATCTCATAAGTTCTTATATTTAACTTGAATTTCAGAACGCAGCTAACACTGTTTCAAGTCAAAAACTAGAGTAAAAAAGACTGAGAAGTATAAACCAGACACTACACTGAAATGGGATGAGACGAAGGTAAAGTGAGATCACAATTAAGTCATTATTATGCTTAATGGTCAGTCTTTACACTATCAAAATGTGTTCTAAAAAGAATTAATTAATCAAAATCCTCATGACTAACTAAAAAAACCAAATAATCAAGGTTGCAATAATAGTCTTAGCTAAACATTTCAGCTGTGTCTTAGGAGATGGACATATAGACAAACTACTACAGGATAAATCAGGGTGTGTATTTGCAGTACGTCAGCTGTAGTGTATGTGTTCACTCCTACCCACAAGTAAATACAACATGCTCATCCCTTAATAAAAGGGAATAAACTACTGGGCGCTTATCCTGGGAGAAAGGGTAGTTACTGCACGGTAGGTGATGTGTATTAAGCTCACACCCTAGTTTATGTGTGATTTGTTCATAAGCTCGCATCCTTATAAAGAAAGATGTTTCAGAGAAAGTCACAATAAAATAATATTGAAGGTCTACAGTTTAACTGACAAGGAAAAAGAAATCATTCACGGCAGAAATTCTTAAAAACACAAATATGATCAAATCAAGCAAGAATCCTTTGACAGTATTATAGATTGATTAAATACATCAGAGCCCAACATCTTAAATTTATTTTTTCATTTATTTTAAGCTAAAACTGGAAAAGAGGTTCTACATTGGCTTACTTACATCACTCTAGTGTCCAGTGCAGGTGGTCATGGCAAGCAAAAGCTTCACCCTGCTTGCCCTGAGATACCTTTAGTGTGGCTATCTGCAGCTGAGCTAGACCCCTTTACAGTCAAAGCTTACAGGTATATGTTCAAACTCTTAATGTCTAAAATCAGGTGAGCCAAATCCCACCCTTACTGCATAGATATGCGTGACTGGAAGCTCATGGTAGTCAGAATACTACTCTAATGTTAACCACACATTCAGTGACTTGATGAACTAGGCCAAGCAGAGATGCTTTTGAGATCTGCCCTCAAAAGACAGTTTCATACAACAAGCAGAAGTAACCTAATGAAATGCAGAAAAATAACTGATGTATGTCTTGTTCAAATTGTGCAACTTCTTGATGATGTTTTAACTAAAATTTTTGCTACTTTAAACTTCGCTCAAATCTTAAAATATTTCATCAAGAGAGTGCACAACTATGAAAACCTGCTTCTGCAACTCCATGTGATAGATCACTTCATCTGCACATGAATCTGTTGATAAATACACATTATCATATATAAGCAAAACTTGCTGATAACTCAAGAAGCAGTATTCAAACAAATATTACTAGACGGAATGCCAGTAATATTTCCCGAAGTTAAAAACATTCAGGGAAACAATCTCTTAAAACTATACTGTAAGCTTTTATTTTTCATTTGCTTTTAAGTGTCTCCTGGGAATGATGAGTTAAATGCTTGTTTAAGTCTGATAAATTTTAAGGGGCGATGCAAATGTTTTTTGCAATTCTTCATATTTCAACACTATGGATCAAGTGCTGTAACCCTAACTAAGACAAAATTCTTTCTCTTGTTCATTGGCTCAACAGTAACTACAGGTTTGGCCCTAGATGCAGAGCATTGCAGATCAGCACTCAGAGACCTCTGGCTCATTATTAATTAAAAGATTTTGCAAAACCCTACACACAGGCTAAAATTAAAAGAGCTTCTAAAAGTATCATTTGCAAGTAACTTTTATAGGCAGAATTTTATAGGGGCTCAACTAGAACCCACTAACTTGGCTGCTCATTCTCTCCTCCTGTCATCCAGGATACTATTTTTTTTTTCCGCCTCTGCTTCCTTCAATGTCCCCACAGGAGGGAGGGTCCCCACCTGAACCCAACCAGGCTATCTCCCATGGGGTCTCTGAAACTCTTTAGGACTAGCTTTTATGTCAAGTGTTGGTCATCACTTTGTGAGCCTCCCTATAACAAATTAAATTGCTAAGACAGTGACTCAACAACACTGCTCTTAAAGCTGCAGCCGCTGTTACCTTCTCTATACCAAAGACACTCCTATTTTTTAAAGGACCTAACGGTGTTGGGAAGTGCATTTTGTGTGGCTGAACATACAACAGCTTAAAAGGGGCTTATTTCCCTCTTCAAGCTGATTTTACACTAAGGAATCAAGACAGATTCCCCTGCTTCCCCCCAGTCATTAATCACAGCTGAAAACACAGGACTTCAGTTTCTACTGGAACTATTTTTTTTAATTGCAGTTCTCTACACTGATATTTAAGACAGAAAGACAGACAGACAGACAGAGACGCTTGCAGTTTGGCACTCCAAGGGTCAAATGCACAATAATTTTGCATGGTTAAGTAATAAAGCCACAGGGGCAGGAGTGACAAGAGGAGAGGTAGAAGTATTACTACAGCAGAAGCACCAGCTGCTCTTGTGCTAGATTCTGGGAACATTACTTGCCCTAACTCCACTGAGAAAGACTGCTCATGATAGTAATCACTCTGGCACTACCCATCTGCACAATCAGCCTTCTAGTTCCCAGAGGATCTCCAAAAATCACCCTGCCCTTCAACCCACTTGCCTTTTGTAATACAAACATATTGTGACACATCGCTTAAAACCAAACAAAACCCCCACCAAAACATTACACATACCACTTTCCCCTTGGCAGGGGATGAAAGAACAAGCCACATGTGAAAGATATTTAGTTATGCCATTTACTGCACTACTGGCAGGCACACAGTCACGATGGTGATGTGAGCAGCGTAACAAACAGCACAGAATAAAAATGTAACTTCTCAGTACTTCTAGAAAGCATAATGACTGGCATCCCTATAAACCACTGATGATTTTCTATTACTTTTATTAATACACCAGCAACACATTACATTTCATTAAGAAATATAAGGAGAAGGGACAGAGCAATCGTTTTCCTCTATATTGGTTCTTGTACTGCTCTCCTTAGGCCTATCCTAGAAGGATTCTGGGGTTTGGTACTGCATTGTAGCACCGTTTTCATTTGCAGTGTAATACATGCTGCAGGGAGCTCAGAAGACTGCACACAAGGTAAAGAAACACATCGGTAAAGTAAATGCTGTTTTAAATGAAAGGGGGAGGCAGTGCCAGCAAATATTTACTCTTATGTCTCAGGCGTGTTGCAGGAAACTTGTATTGGTCACATGCAACTTCAAAATTTGCATTCCCCTCCTAATTAAAAAAATATCTGGAGGACTGAAAGCGTGTTGTTGTTTTCTGTTGGCATTTGTTGTATATGTTGACTTCCCCAAGTAAAATATTTTGCAGAAAAACTAACTGAATTTAACGTGACTAAAAGACAATCCAAAAGGCAGTCTTTATACAATCATCTACATATTGTCTAGCATAAAGCTGTAGAGATATACTGTTCAAAGAGTTATTTTTGATTTTCCAGATTTCTAATGTTAGCTGACCTACTAGATACAGAGGGAATAAGCCTCAATTTGACATGTCAATCAAGAAACACAGCTGAAGATTTTTTTTTTGAGGTGAGCTGCTCATATGCACATTCACTCTGCTGTGCGTATAAGACCATTTACACTAAGGACTTTTTAAACCACAGCAGCATCCAGAGACAACTTGCTGATGACCCTCTGTCATGCACTGCACCCACAGTGTGTACATGGATGCTGGGAGCACTCACGTATTTAGTTTCTCTCCACCCTGCATTCCTAGGGTGAGGTGATTATGGGATCAGTAAGATAGAGGGAAAGTAGCTGGTTTGTGAACAGGCACAAGAAATATCTGTCTAGGAAACAAGTATCTACTGGCAAGTAATCCTCCTTTCTCTTTGAGTGACTCTTAATACATACATATTCATACCCTGGGTGGCTCTAAGCACTCTCTCACTAAGCACACAGGTTACGGGCTTGTTAGGAATATCCCTGGAATATCTCTGCCAAATGGCACATCATGCCTCCTAGCGTCTGATGGCAAAGTACTCAGGAAAGGAGGCTCCAGATGGCTGCTCTTCACATCTTGGGGAAATTAAGTAACAAATTCTACGGAAAGACTCTGAACAAAGTCTAAATTCAAGATTTTGCCTTGTCCCGATAAAAAGATAAAGCAGACTACCATGTAGTGAATAGAAAAATATTTTATCCCTGCAGGCATAAAAGGTTAATCTCTTGATTTAAGCAGATCACAAGACAAGTGAAACAGGTAACGTGACTCTTTAAGCCTGTAGGAGAAAGTCTGCCTTAAACTCCTGAACCTCTGTCATGGTCCCAAGCTCCGGGGATGGCCACCAAAAAGGTCACATTCATTTAAGGACGCAAAAGCAAACAAACAGGCATAGTCTCAAAGAGCTTCCTAAAAACAGGTGGCAGCAATGGAAGTTCCACTGAGGTCTCGGAGTAGAAGAAACGTCCTAAACCATGAGGGAATATACCTGCGGCCAAATGGGAAACAAACAGGGCAGCCTTCTGCAGTAGAGCAGAGCGACAGGGTAAGAACAGACTCAATATTGTGTAGCTTCAAAATGTAGTCCAACAGAAAGGGAAATCTCCCCAAAATGGTAAGGTCTAGGTGCACCCCATGTAGAGGTACTGATCCAATTAGCCACAGGCATACATAGCAG